AATATCTGTAGATATTGGTACAGACCTTAGAAATCTTTGCTAATATTTATAATTCATTCTCTTTACTTAAGTTTAATCACCCCTCTCCCAATATTATATGCTTATAGTGATTTTCAGTGAAACTCACTATTCAGAATCGCTGTAACATTATCATATTTTAATCTTTAAAAATATCAGAAAGATATTATATTAAATTAATTTTATATTATTAATCTAAAAAAAATAGTATTTATATTTATTTTTATATAGTATTATTACTTAAAAGTCTTGATGATTATTTATTTTAAATTTGATAATTTTTTATTAAAATTATATTTAACTTTATTATTTTATTATTTAATATTTGAATTATAAGTTTTAATAATTTAGTAATCTGATTTTTTATAGTTATTGCTTACTTTATAGTAAAAATTTTTATTTATAAAGATTATTAATAGTAGTAATATATATATTAAATTTAATTTAAAAAAAATTAAAGAACTTAATTAATATTTTAATAATATTATAAAAAAATATATTTGTTATATTATTAAAAAAAATTATATCAAATTATTTAAATAAGATTCAAGTTTTGAATTGAAATAAAAAATAAAAATAATAATTAAAAAAAGAAAAAGAAAAAGAAAAAATATATGTATAACTTTATTAAATTTAATTGAATAAAATATTTAATAATAAGAAAATTATAAAGTTCAATATTAAAATAAAAAATTATTATTTAATAATTATTCAGATAATATTATATTTATTTAAAAAAATATAGAAAATTTAATAAAAGTTTAATTTATAATATTTTAATAAAATTATTGGCTAAAAATGAAAAAAAGAGTAAACTAAAAAAATATTTATTATAAAAATAAATTTAGATATAAAAAAAAATTTATAAATAAAATAAATAAATAAGGATTCAAATTTTAAACAAAAAAATAACAAAAATAATTTATATTAAAAAATTATTATTAAAAAATCTTTATAAATTAAAATAAAAATTACAAATAAAAATAAAAATAATTAGTTTAATAATTTTAATCTTAATAATTTTAATTATAATAATTTATAAATAAATTCATGAAAAAAAGTTAAATATATAAATAAACAAATAGATAAATAAAAAATAAATAAATAAATAAATAAAAAATAGATAAATAAAAAATAAAAACAAATTAATAAAACAGAAAAATATAAAAAATATAAAAATAAAAAATATAAAATTAAAGATAAAAATATATAATTAATTATTTATTCAAAAAATATAAAATATTAATTTTTCCAAAAATAAAATTTCTTTAAATAAATTATTAATATTTTTTAAATTGTTTAACAAGTAAATTACTTGCTAAAATTTTTTTAACTAATTTTTGTATATTTATACTTAATTTTTATTAGCTTAGATATAAATTTATGATATTTTAGTAAGCAAATTTGTTTGCTAAACTGAACAATTTAAGAGATAATAAAAATAATAGTAATAAATAAATAAAATAAAAAATTTATAATAATAAGAAATTTTATTAATTATAAAAAATATAATTATAGTTTTAGCAAAAAAATAATTATATATATATTTTTTGCTTATATTTTAATAAAAAATTATTCAAAATTATAAAATTTTTTTTAAAATATTAAAACAATTTCTTTTAATATTATAAAACATATTATTATAGTAAAATTTTGTAAAATTTAATATTTAAGGTAATAGATTGAAATTTTTAATATTTATATATAAATAAAAATTATTTAATAAGTAATTTTGAAAAATTTGTCAAAATAAAGTTATTTTAATTAAAAATTTTTTTAAAATACAAATAGATTCTTTATATTATAAAATATATTTTTATAAAATTATTTTCGAAATTATTTTTTAACAATTTTTTATTTAAATTAAATATTAAAAATTCTAATTTATTGTTTTTAATATGAAAATTCATAAAATTTTACTATATTAATATATTTTGTAATATAAAAAACTTGTTTTAATATTTTAAAAATATATTTACAAATTTCACAATTTTTGAATAATTTCTTATTAAAATATAAGCAAAAAATATGTCTGGTATTATTTTATTAGAAATTGTAAAAAATAATTTAATATATTAGAAATTAATCAAAATTATAAAGTTATTAATTCTAGAAATAATTTGAAATATAACAAGAAAATTTATTAAAATATTTTTAGAAAAACCAGAAATTTTATAATTAATTAAATATTTATTAGATTAATTAATAAATTTTCAAAATTTTTATATTAGAAAAATATTTGAATATTTTCAAAAAAAAATAGATTATTTTTTTTATTTCTAACAAAAACAAAAAATTATTTAAAAAAGAACTAATTTTCAAAAATTTTTATGAAATAACTAAATTATTTTTCAAGATCAAATTCAAATAAATTTTGAGACTTCATAAATTTATAATAAAATAACAAAAACTAGAAATATTTATTAATCATACTGACAGATAATTCATATAAACAAACCAAAATGCAAAAAAAAATTATTAAAAGTTCTAACAGTTCTAATAATGAAAAAGAAATTTTTTTAGAAATATCTATTTCAATAAATCAAATTTACTAAATTTATAATATAATGAATTTTTACTATTTCAATTTAATAAAGTTGACTATAAATTCAAATCAGAATTTTTTCATAATTGAGATTTGCAATTTAATTGCAAGAATTATCATGTTCAATTTAATGCAAAATATAAAAAATTAATATTATCAGTATTAATATCATTATTATAATGATAATAAATTGTACTAATTAAAAATTGCTTGAATTTCTTTAGAACAAAATTTGGTTTGGATCCCTGATAATTTAATCTTGGTGTTAGTGTTTGTTGGTAATAGTTCATTTATATAAAATTTCTATTCTAGTTATTTTTGTAGATTCACAGCTTAATTATTGTTGTATATAGGACATGTAGTTTTGATACTGCAAAAAATCTTTATTATGACAAATACAGCCATTTTTTGAGCCTGTTAGGATTCCGCCAAGTCAAAAATTGAGAACTGAAATGAGTATTTTCCATTATATCGGAACAATTTTTATGATTTGAAATACGAATATTCAATGTTCTTGTCAAACCAGTTTTTCGAGAACTCTTGAATTCCAAAGTTAAATGCTATGTATTACGTAATCTGAGATATGTAGATCTTATTTAAAATCTGTTTAATGAAAGACTAACATTATCGTTATCGTTTATGATGCAATTAAGATATATAACGATAAAAATAAATTTTTCCTCTATAAAGTTATATAATAGTGTATCGTCTGGCCCAGCTTCTGAAATTAGGGGAGTGACATATATTACATAACATTGAGTTACTATAGAGGTAATCCCCCTCTCCCCGGTGAGATTTTTATATTTAATTGGCTAATTATTTTTGATCACGTAGATTTTGAGACCCCCCTCCCCCTGATAATTACGTAATATATGTTACCCCTCTTATGTTTTCCATGAAAAATCGAGATCTCTAATTGGTCGGATATCATATGATCTGTACCCCAAACAACAACTCCAATGTCTCACTATGTCTCCATCAGTTGTGACTACACTAATTCTATTTAATTTATTCATTATACATATATTATGTATTATACTGTAAACTAAATATGGTTGATGCAATTGGGATTAGTACTAAAAATGTAGCCATTTGCGACTTATTAAAAAAAATGGTGTTGCAACATATTGCCTGTTGTGATCAATCGTGGGCTCTATTACTAATCGGCGCTACAAAGTACTTTATAAATTAAAATTAATTGGCCTCTTGTTTTTTGGATACGAAAATGTCTTCTTACTGTTTAAAAAAACACAAAACTAACTCATTTACTTTAAGTCCTATTAATAAATATTATATTTAACGTTGAATATTCACATTTGCTAGCATTTAAGAAATTAATAGCGTTACTAAACTTTGTTAGCATCACATAGTTCAATTGTATCGATATCTTTCTGTATTAGAATTTAACGATCATTTAAAAGGCATAAATGTATATTCAGGCATTTATCCATATATTGATGTGTATTTTGGGGGATGAAGCATAACATATACGTATTGACAAGAAAGAATTGATGTAAAATCATGGTTTAGATGAAGATATGTATGTTCTTTTAGAGAAGGTACGTATTTCGCTTTGATTATATAATTAATTAACAAACAAGATTATGTACTCGGAATATTCAGAATTAGAAGGTTTGGATACGAAAATCACATCGTGACTATTACATGTATTTTGTGCAGTTTTAGTCATAAGGATTATTATTACCCATTTAAAATTTATTTTTATACGATTGAATCACGATTCACACTACATGTATAAAACAAGTCAAGAAAAAAGAAACAATATACCTGTATATTAGCCGAATGATACATGTGTTAGAATACTGTATCGGTATGCATAATCCGTATAATTAAGTTGTTCAACAGACTTAGTAAAGCTAGGAGCTTTATTAGTTTACTAAATGATGCAATAAAAATATTTCGATTTATTTATAGATAAATTTGTTTATCTAAGCATTTTTGTGGAGGCATGTGCGCGTTTTTACTTTACAGGGAAAGTTCTAGATAGTGGCTGGTGTGGCACCAAATTCATTTAAATCAAATCAAATACATAGCGATAGTATCATGCGTTAATAAAGTCGTACCAATAACCAATAAAATTGTGGAATAGTAAATTATAAAGAGCACAAAATAGATACACACATACAATTTATATTTTCATACACATAACAATCTACGTGGTAATAATCTTCTTGGTAAATAAAATTATTATCATACATTGTCTTCATGCTTATATATATAAAATAACTAATTATAGTCAACTAGAAATTTATATTCTATCTCAGCATACTTACCTTTGAGGTAAAAAAAATTCAAGTATCCTTATTGACGAAAAATGGAACGGTTAGTAGGAGAATCTCGTATTAGTCCCGAACGAACTGCGGAAATAGCAACAAAAACACAAGAGGCCATTCAATCATTTCTTGATATGGCACAAAAACTGCATTACGCTTCTAAAGTGGTCGGGGAACTGCATACTCTTTTGCCATCTGAGATGTGTATAACATTGCCATCCGAATTGCACGATACTCTCCAGCATAAAGATTTAAATCGTGAAGAAAATAATCCAATTATTATTTCAACTCCTTTGAATTCACCGATGAACAATTCCTCGAAAATTAAGCCTTCTAATATTGTGATGTCTGGAATAGAAAAGCAAGTGCAAATTAATATTGATGCAATGGACAATGATCTGATTCAAAATGAAGCTATGAGTGAGGTTGAAGATTACGACACTTTTCGGCCGTTGCCTCCGACGCAGTCTTCTCTTTCAATTACGCAACAAGTGATTCAATTCACATTTTCGAAAAAACGTAGAGAATTAAATCAAAAAGAAAAAATTTTTCATAATTCTTATCCAAACTTCGAAGAATTGAAGAAGAATGTGACGATAAGACATGCGGATCAATACAAGAATAATAAATACAATAGAATAGGCTCCGCGAGAACAAGCGGCCATTATCAGGCTTTAAGACGACCTAAAACTCCAGTACAAGCTAGACCTAAAATCAGAAAGAATATTATGCATTTTAATGCAGAAATACTTCCCATAAATTCCCAAACATCAAGCTCAACTTTTCAAACTTCATCAGAATCCGAAGTCTCAGTACCTGTGCACACTTCTCAAAATTTGGCGAACTTGACCATCACAACAGAAAGTTCGTTTCCCAATCCTACCAATGGTGTTAAGATAAAAAATCCTATAAAAAGCAAAAACTCGAAAACACGGATTTCCCATTTTACAGCGGAAGAAACTGCCTTATTAGACGAATTCAATCGATATTTGGAGCCACGTCTTGCAAACGGCGATACTCAAACAGAAATTGTTGGCGAGATTCTTAAAAGATACGGTTATTCTTGTAGAATATCACAAGCTAATATCTCGTTAATGGCAAGGCGGATTGCAATCCCAAAGGATGAAAAAACAATTGCAGCCATTCGAAATTGGATTGCAATTGAAAAGCAATCCTAATTGCTACAAATGACGATTGATATTCTTTATTTTTAATATAAATAATAAATGTAAATAAATACGGTTTGGTACTCATGGTTTTTAGTATTTTGGTATTAGAGATAATTACTTATTTAAATAGATTGAAAGTTTTCGGTTATTTTCCAGCGAATAAGCATTTTATAGAACGACTTGAAAATGCAAAATGAGCAAATACATTCCTTATTTTTAAGCCTTATTTGAATATTCTTAAGAATAAAAGTCATAAATGACATTCTCATCGTTATATATTGATACAAGGTTGACAGATCATAGTTGATAAGCTTACATATTTACATGTATGGGTGCATTTGTAGTTTGTTTCTTTAACGTTAAGTTTATTAATAATTCAAAAAGTAACAAAATACCTCGATGAAATCATTATCTTCATTAAAATTCGATTATTTAGTGAATTGTGTACAGGAGTTTTTTCTTAATCGAGTATTCTTTAGGGAAGTTGATAAGTACATATAAAGTTAATTCTTTATGAAATTAATAAGTTTTTAAATATATAATAAAAAATACAGTTAATTTGATATCATGAATACTATTAATTAGTTAATCTTGTCTGGCAAAGCTCTTTTTAAAATTTTAGTTTTATTAATATAAATAGTTATATTATTTATTTTTGTTAGAATTATAACAAAAAAAGATTTTGTATATTAATTTAAATAATTTAATATATTTAAATAATTATATATTCTTTTAAATAATCAAATTCTCTTAATTAATTAAATAAAAAATTATTAATATACAGTAACAATTAAAAGAAATACAATAATATTAAAATTTATTTATAAAAAGTTTTTAAATTTATATTAAACTAAAATAATAATTTATATTTTAACATAAATTTTTAGATTTTATTTGATAAAGTTATTATAAAAATTTTGTAATTTATTATTATAGTAATATATAGTGACTAACAGAATTATGAAATCACACATGCAATTTTATTAATAAAACATAATAAAAATTAAAATTTTTGTCTTATATAAAAGTTTTCAATTTTATTAATAAATATTTTTTATTTTATATCAAAATAAAAATTATAAGTTATAGTTTAATTTATATTTTTTAGATTTTTTTTGACTAAGTTATTTTAATTGCAAAAATTTTTTATAAATACAAAATTTTTTTATAAATAATTTTATATTTTAATTATAGAAAATTTTTGTAATAACTTTGTAATTAAAATAACTTTATTAGAAAAAATCCAGAAAATATATATATTAAATTATAACTTATAATCTTTATTTTGATATATAGTAGCAATCAAAAAGAATGAAATATTAAAACAAATTTATTAATAAAACATAGTAAAAATACAAAAAATGTGTGTTTTTCTCTTTATATAAAAGTTTTTAATTTTACTAATAAATATTTTTTATTTTTATATTAAAATAAAGATAATAATACATATTTTAACATATATTTTTTTCAGATTTTTTATATTTAATCTGATAAAACTGTTCTAATTGCATATAAAATCAATTATTTTTTAATAATAAAAATATATAAAAAAAATAATTAATTTTATATGCAATTAGAATAGCTTTATCAAATTAAATCTAAAAAATCTAAAAAAAATATATGTTAAATTATGTGATATTATCTTTATTTTAATATAAAAATAAAAAATATTTATTAGTAAAATTAAAAAACTTTTATATAAAGAAAAAAACACATATTTTTTGTATTTTTACTATGTTTTATTAATAAATTTGTTTTAGCATTCTATTCTTTTTGATTGCTAATATATATATTTTATTAATAAAATTATATATATAAATCTATAATTTTGTTAGTTACTATATTATAAAATTCAAAATTTAATAGTAATAAAAACAAAAATATAATCTTAAATTTTTTTGGATCTATAATTTTAATTATATTTTCTTAATAAATAAGAAATATAGTAATATATTATATATGTGATAAATTATAATTTTTTATAATTAAAATACAATAACTATCAAACTAATATAATAAAATATAAATTTATTTTCTTATATAAAAGTTTTTAATTTTACTAATAAATATTTTTTAATTTTACATTAAAATAAAAATAAAATTATATATAGTTTTTAGATTTAATTTGATAAAGTTCTTCTAATTTTATATAAAATTAATTATTTTTTATATATTTTAATTATAAAAAATAATTAACTTTATATATAATTAGAATAGTTTTATCAGATTAAATCTAAAAAATCTAAAAATATATGTTAAAATATATAATATTATTTTTATTTTAATATAAAAATAAAAAATATTTATTAGTAAAAGTAACAACTTTTATATAAAGAAAAAAATTTATATTTTATTATATTTAATTAATAAATTTTGATGTTGTTATATTATTTTTAATTGTCACTATATAAAATTAATTATAAAGCTTTTATAATAATTTTACAATTAGAATAATAATATAATCTGTTTGATGCAAAAAAATTTATATTTCAAAATTTAAATTAATAATATTTTAAATATTATTTATATGAATTTCTAATATTAGAACTTTAAACTATATAAATATATTATTATATATTTTTCAAATTTCAAATTTTATAAAAATTAAATTAGTAATTATTATAAGATTAAGTTTTAAATTTTATATAATAAAATTTATAAAATAAAAATTCAAATTATTAGTTATAAAAATTATTTTTATAAAATATATATATAATAATAATTAGAGATAATGCAATAATATCAAAATTTATTAATTAATATAATAAAATAAGAATTTTTCTCTTTATATAAAAGTTTTTAATTTTATTAATAAATATTTTTTATTTTTATATTAAAATAAAAATAATAT